CCACTTTGAGCTCAGTTTCAACCTTTTCCCAGTGCTAAAACCAAATCAAAATTATCTCTATTTCTGTAATGTCTTCCATTCTATCAAATGAACCAAGAAATCACAAATACAACTATAAAAAACATACGAAAAAACACTGCAAAGTCGCTGTTTTTATCGAAAATCACGGTCTCAGTTTTTCCTCTCATTATACACAGTGTGCTGCAGGATTTGTTTTATGTGGTGCACACATACCACATAGATGTATTCTCTCATATCTAGGCCCAAATTTACCACTCACAGTTTATCAGAGTGAGCTGAGCTCATGACGTAGATCTACGGTTTGGACACTGAACGTAAAGCCGTAGATCTACGGGACGGACCCTGAATGGTTAATAAGGTCTTTATGATATCTCTCCAAGAGAGAACCCGCAGTAATGGATTTAAATTAGACAAGTTTAGATTTAGAAAGGACATAGGAAAGTACTGGCTTGGAAATAGGGTAGTTACCTAGTTGGGTTATTGAGGCTAGGACTTTGGGTAGTTTCAAATTTAGGTTGGATAAATATACGAGTGAGAGGGGTTGGATTTGAGTGGGACTTGCATACGAGTGGACAGAGTTATCAGAGCTTATTTCTTGGGTAGCATTGAAAATTGGGTTGGGCAAATGTTTTGTTGTAATAAAGTTGGTAGAATTACCGACAATATGTAAAGTAAAAGGACACAAGTGCAACTAATGTGACATTTATTGTGGCAATGTTTCGCTCTCCAGGAGCTTTATCAAGCTTTATCATGGCTTGATAAAGCTCCTGGAGAGCGAAACGTTGCCACAATAAATGTCACATTAGTTGCACTTGTGTCCTTTTACTTTACAAATGTTTTGTTAGTGGGATGGATTGTAAAGGACCTGCCTAGTATGGGCCAACAGGCCTCCTGCAGTGTTCCTCCTTTCTTATGTTCTTAAACCTGTGGCCAGATTGTGTCCAAGAGGGATTCTGAAGGGTTTGGGGATGACCCTGAGGACCCTATGCCTGTTGTGGAATCTATTGTGTCTTTGGGGAAGTCCATGGGGTTGGAGGTTAGTGGCAAGGATGTGGAAGAGTTGGTGGAGGACCACAGTGAAGAGCTAACCACCGAAGAGCTGCAAGAGCTTCATCTGGAACAGCAACAGACCACAGCTGAGGAACCTACTTCAGATGAGGAGGAAGAGGGAGGGAAGGAGGTGCCTTCTTCAGAGATTAAGGAGATTTGTGAAATGTGGAGTAGGGTGCAAGCTTTTGTGAAGAAATATCTTGATCAAGCTTAAACAAGTCATATCTGCAACATGTTCAGTGACAAAGCCTTGTCCCACTTCAGGGACATCTTAAAGAGACGCCAGAAACAGACCTCTCTGGGCAGATGTTTTTGTGCGGCAGGGGTGCAGTGACTCTCACGCTGGTCCTAGTGGCATTAAAGGACAAAGAAGGGAAGTAACCCAGAGAGGGACTTGTTACCTGAAGTCATTATGGAGGGGGATTACCCTTCCAAACAATAACCCCAACTCCCTCTCTCATCCTCCCTATCTTCCATAAGAATACAAGAGTCTTCAATAAAGGTATGTATTATTTTTATTATTATCACACCGGCCGATTCCCACCAAGGCAGGGTGGCCCGAAAAAGAAAAACTTTCACCATCATTCACTCCATCACTGTCTTGCCAGAAGGGTGCTTTACACTACAGTTTTTAAACTGCAACATTTATTTTATTTTATTTTATTAATTCTCATTGTTTTGTGTATGTAAAACTATAATTAATCTTCACAAAAATTATTTTTTGTTAATATTTTTGCGTGTCTGGAATGGATTAACTGTATTTACATTAATTATTATGGGAAATATTATTTGGGTTTTTGGCCATTTCGGTTTTAGGCCAACCTTCTGGAACAGATTACAACGATAACTGAGGGTCCACTATATATCAATAATATCACCTATTCCTGAATCAACTGTAAATAACATTTTGTAAAATTAAACACTTTAATATTTTATTTTACAAACATTATAGAAACCCAAACTGAAGTAACTCATCAATCATCTTAAGATAGGTATAGCTGGGTATGTTGGTTTTAACTACAGTACATTATATGAAACTTGCCTAGCATCTCAATCCCCATCTATTCTTAAAATATAAACTCTTAATTTTTTGCATTGGAGGGCAGAGCTTTGATACATAATAGGAAGAGATAGAGATAAAACATCTTTACAGGGATAAGCAATCTACAGTTACCTACCATACACACATTTATACAGAATTTTCCTTGTTTTCAGTACGGATAATCAACTTTTAATGTTTATACCAATTCATTAATGATGTAAAAAGCATCCATGACAGTACAATGCTCTATTCAGCCATCAATATTACAGCAAGTATTTTACATTTTCAGGCAAGAAAAATACATAAAGCCTTTAACCAAATACTGTACACCAAGGTTAAATTGTGAACTACTGTACTTGCATTTTACAGAAAATTTTGATACATCTTTTAACCAGCAATTGTCTATTTACTGTATACTAAACTTAATGCTTTCACCCTTAGCCAAAAATATATGCAACTGTGCACCAAAATAAAGTGCAAGAATGAAACCCTGCATAAGTTGCTCACAAGTCTTACACTTGTTGTCCATGTTCACTTGGTAGTAAAATATTTTTAAATTTACAAGAAACATGAGAGCACTAAACCCAAATGGATACCTAGCAGTAATTATGAAGTGTCTTATCCTAGGGAAAGACCTCCCCTCCCCCCAATGAAAATACACCCTATTACTTGGCTTTCTTAGATTATCCTAGGATAAAAGTTTTTTTTTTTTTTTTAACCCTTTTACATTATTAATATTCCTTTAGTGAAGGTTTTGCTGGCTCATAGCATGAGAAAATAAAGCTTTACTTTACTTTTGGCTAGGATGATACACATCAGCATGCATTTGCACCAGTCAATTCTGAGCTCTACAAAATCATTTAACCTCGACTACTTTAAGTAGTCATTATATCATCCCTAAGGGCACTTCAACCTGTCTGAATGGCTGCAGGTAAACTAGCCATTGGTCACATCCTCGGCTAGCAAAATATTCACACCCTTGATAAAATTAAATATTCACACACTTTACAAAATCACAATTTGCTATGAATTACAATTTCTGTTAATTGACTGTCACAGATTTATGTTCTGTCTATTAATTTTCAGTGTATTGGACTTTCTACAAACATGTATATCTCTACCCTAAGTGCAACACTATCATTAACAGCACTGGTTGCTGGAAACTTTTGTTTTTTAAGATAACACACCTTATGATGTACTTTATCTACACCTTTAAACTGATAAATTCAACTCCACGAAACTTGTGACCGGATATACACACAAAAAAGTGGTACGATAATGAATGACATCTACTTGTCAAGTTTTTAACAGGTTCATCTTATTAATTCCTATTGGCATATTTTATTCTTTCAGTGCAGGAATGTAATTATCTGGAGTGTGGGCCTATTCTCTCTGCTGACAGAGATTGTCAGTGGCGCCCATAATCTTATCTAATGTCTCAAGGAGGAACTCATGAGTGTTAAGGTGGTGGGTGACCAGTCTTAACCCCCACTAACTTTCACTACCCAGGCTAGGTGAAGTATATTATTACGTGTAGTGTGAGGCTGAGTGGTGGCTACACACCATGCTCACTCACACCACTGACACCCCACCATACTACAATAATAACTAGTAGAACATGACAAACTTACAGAGTGCAGTCAGAACAGGTTGTTTTTGTTGACTATGGCAACGCCAGTGGTGACACCTGTTGCCGGCGCTGCACACTAATGTCTGAAGGTCGCTCCCTCGCTCGCTCTGATGGCCATCTATTGCCCTATTTTACACTTGCCACAAATTTTAACTCTTCGAAAACTTTAACAAACTTTTTATAAAGTTGTTGCCGTAGAGTAAATATTTAATCCCCTTATAACAAGGGACTACAACATATAAGTAACGAGCCTTTCGTCTGCATATAGCAGCAAATGTAGAACTGGGCGGGGCATCGGGGCACTCAACAGAACGACTTTTGAAACCAGGCAAAAACTAAATTGTTTATCGCTCTTTATTAGAAATTGATATATTTCGAAACTATTATAAATGAGAATAATAATAAGAACAAGTAATACGATAATATAACCTAAACATGACACTGTTGCTCAGTGATCCCAGTATTCAGCTTACACTCAAAGGGCCGATCATTACTAAGAACAAATCTTATTACATGAACAAATTTTATTAAGAAAAAAGTATCCGGGGTCTACCTATACTGTAACTGTGGAGACCCATGGCCCCAGAGTAGATAAAAATGCTTAGAGGAAAAATAATATTGGGATTTCTTCTTAAGGCTGTTTGAATATTCTGCTGCTACCTCTACATCTTCTATAAATGTACATATTTTATATGTGTACTTTATTATGTAATTATACTACACACAGTTGAAGGGTTACAGTAATGTTACAGAGATGATAGAGTATAAAATGCAAAAGGTTTTCAGGGCTGCAAGTACACATAGCTTTTTGTCAACAATTACTCTTGGAGTATACCTGGAAAGGGTTTCGGGGGTCAACGCCCCCCGCGGCCTGGTCTGACAGTACATATCTCATCCAGCTCCTCAGAGATGGGACGCATACCCAAGATACAACATTCAGTTCCCCATTACCTCCTCCCATCTGCAACACAGATCTAGAACACAATACTAGCTGCTCTGGGAACTTAGTTGTTCTGATGAGTCTTTTAAGTAGTCCCTTAAAGAGTTTGGATGGGATCTTTATCTACGAACCTAGATTTTCTTAATCTATGGGAAAAAATATACATAATTGCATAAAAATTAGGTGACATTTCACGCATTTTGGATAGCTCCTTGGTATTACCTGGAGCGGGTTTCGGGGGTCAACGTCCCCACGGTTTAATCTGAGACCAGGCCTCGTGGCGGATCAGTCTGATCAACCAGGCTGTTACTGCTGGCCTTACGCAAACTGACGTATGAACCACAGCCAGCTTGGTCAGGTACTGACTTTAGGTGCCTGTCCAGAGCCTTCTTGAAGACAGCCAGGGGTCTATTTGTAATCCCCCTTATGTATGCTGGGAGGCAATTGAACAGTCTTGGGCCCCGGACACTTATTGTGTTGTCTCTTAGTGTACTCGTGGCGCCCCTGCTTTTTTTCGGGGGAATGTTGCATCTCCTGCCGAGTCCTTTGCTTTCATAGGGAGTGATTTTCGTGTGCAAGTTTCGTACTAATCACTCTAGGAGTTGTATATTATCAAGTATCTCTCTCGCCTGCGCTCCAGGGAATACAGATCGAGAGCCTTCAACCATTCCCAGTAATTTAGGTGCCTTATAGTACTTATGTGTGCCGTGAAAGTTTTTTGTACAACCTCTAGGTCAGCAATTTCCCCTGCCTTAAACGGGGCAGTTAGTGTACAGCAGTATTCCACCCTAGAGAGAACAAGCGATCTGAAGAGAATCATTATGGGTTTGGTGTCCCTAGTTGTGAAGGTTCTCATTATCCATCCTATCATTTTCCTAGCAGATGCGGTAGATACATTGTTGTGGTCTGTGAAGGCGAGATCCTCTGCCTTTAAGCCTACTTGACATTATTATATATTTGTATGAATACAGATTAAGTTGTAATAAACAATCGTCAATGAGTCAACAGAAAGATGGACAAGGGGTTCGAACTGCAGTAAAGCATCTGACTGTCAATTTACGGATTGCGGTTCGAGCCCTTCGTTAATCCTTCTGTTTATTCATATAACTGTAGCTCGATCGCTAACGCACTCAGCTCACACACTGAGGGCTGGAGTTCGAATATCCTCCGGTACGGCTGGAAAACATTAGGGAAGTGTTTCCATAGGACACCTGCTGTCCCTGTTCGCCCATCAGTCTAAAATGGGTACCTGGGTGTTAGTCGACTGGTCGGGTTCGCATCCTGGGACAAAACTGACCTAATTTGCCCGAAATGCTCAGCATAATAAGGGGAATTTCTATACAGTTGTATAGCTAAGCCTGTATACCTTGTACATTATGTACTTGTAGAAATAAAGATATTATATATTATATATTATTATTATTATTATTATTTATATTATTATAATTATTGGATAATTTGAATGCAACGTTTAATATAATTAATTTGTCTCAAGAGTATTAAATATAATAACAGTAACAAAATTAGTTATTAAAATAGCTGTGGAAAATTGCAGTTATCTTAATGTAACTCATTATGTACATAACTGTAAATGATAATAAAGATAATTATTATTTATCAGTTACATAGACAAGTAGGAATTTGGGACACCTATGTCGCAAAAATGTCCCCCTTTGATACCTACCACTGTCTTATCCACAAGTTGCTCTAGACCTATTAATTACAAATGAAATATGCATCACCAGGAATTCTGGTAAATATATAAATTTGTGGACTGTATATTAAATTAATAAAGAATTATATATATACAATTTACATAACAGAAGGAGAATATCTTAATATCACCCACCAATTTGACTGGAGATCAAAGTGTATCATACTCAAAAAACCTCACTGTCCATACATGAAAATAACACTGGCCAGAGTTAAACATAACAGACTTATCTGAGGTTCCTGGAGTTGTCTTGTCCAGTCGCCTGATATCTCAAGTTATGCAGGAATGCATATCCAACAATTTTGCCTCCTATTTGAGAGGTGTCAGCCCAATTTTACCTCTAGAGCACGAAAATTCTTCCCAATATTCACTAACGCTTGTGTTCAATTCAAACATCAATGGCGAGTCTCGTCTGCGCAGGTGCAGCTTCCCATTTTTTATAACATAATTTTTATTAAATACAGTATGGCCATCTATTTACATATGACTACTGTATTTCTGGAAAATATATACAGTATTTTCCACACTGCGGCCGGGCAGAGTTCGTTGCTAAACGACTCAAATTACTCCTTCCTTTAGGAGACGATTCCAGCTGGTTCTGGCTTGAGTGGCTGTTCTCCTAGTGGGTCTTCTACGATTTCCTCTTCCTGCATCACTTGGTCAGCATTACCTTACCTGGAGTTTACCTGGAGAGAGTTCCGGGGGTCAACGCCCCCGCGGCCCGGTCTGTGACCAGGCCTCCTGGTGGATCAGAGCCTGATCAACCAGGCTGTTGCTGCTGTCTGCACGCAAACCAACGTACGAGCCACAGCCCGGCTGATCAGGAACCGACTTTAGGTGCTTGTCCAGTGCCAGCTTGAAGACTGCCAGGGGTCTGTTGGTAATCCCCTTTATGTATGCTGGGAGGCAGTTGAACAGTCTTGGGCCCCTGACACTTATTGTATGGTCTCTTAACGTGCTAGTGACACCCCTGCTTTTCATTGGGGGCATGTTGCATCGTCTGCCAAGTCTTTTGCTTTCGTAGTGAGTGATTTTCGTGTGCAAGTTTGGTACTAGTCCCTCTAGGATTTTCCAGGTGTATATAATCATGTATCTCTCCCGCCTGCATTCCAGGGAATACAGGTTTAGGAACCTCAAGTGTCCCCAGTAATTGAGGTGTTTTATCTCCGTTATGCGTGCTGGCACTGGACAAGCACCTAAAGTCAGTTCCTGATCAGCCGGGCTGTGGCTCGTACGTTGGTTTGCGTGCAGCCAGCAGCAACAGCCTGGTTGATCAGGCGCTGATCCACCAGGAGGCCTGGTCACAGACCGGGCCGCGGGGGCGTTGACCCCCGAAACTCTCTCCAGGTAAACTCCAGGTACGTGAAGGTTCTCTGTACATTTTCTAGGTCAGCAATTTCACCTGCCTTGAAAGGTGCTGTTAGTGTGCAGCAATATTCCAGCCTAGATAGAACAAGTGACCTGAAGGGTGTCATCATGGGCTTGGCCTCCCTAGTTTTGAAGGTTCTCATTATCCATCCTGTCATTTTTCTAGCAGATGCGAATGATACAATGTTATGGTCCTTGAAGGTGAGATCCTCTGACATGATCACTCCAGGTCTTTGACGTGGTGTTTCGCTCTATTTTGTGGCCAGAATTTGTTTTGTACTCTGATGAAGATTTAATTTCCTCATGTTTACCATATCTGAGTAATTGAATTTTCTCATCGTTGAACTTCATATTGTTTTCTGCAGCCCACTGAAAGATTTGGTTGATGTCCGCCTGGAGCCTTGCAGTGTCTGCAATGGAAGACACTGTCATGCAGATTCGGGTGTCATCTGCAAAGGAAGACATGGTGCTGTGGCTAACATCCTTGTCTATGTCGAATATGAGGATGAGGAACAAGATGGGAGCGAGTACTGTGCCTTGTGGAACAGAGCTTTTCACCGTAGCTGCCTCGGACTTTACTCTGTTGACGACTACTCTCTGTGTTCTGTTAGTGAGGAAATTATAGATCCATCGACCGACTTTTCCTGTTATATTCCTTTAGCACGCATTTTGTGCGCTATTACGCCATGGTCACACTTGTCGAAGGCTTTTGCATAGTCTGTATATATTACATCTGCATTCTTTTTGTCTTCTAGTGCATTTAGGACCTTGTGGTAGTGATCCAATAGTTGAGACAGACAGGAGCGACCTGTTCTAAACCCATGTTGCCCCGGGTTGTGTAACTGATGGGTTTCTAGATGGGTGGTGATCTTGCTTCTTAGGACCCTTTCAAAGATTTTTATGATATGGGATGTTAGTGCTATTGGTCTGTAGTTCTTTGCTGTTGCTTTACTGCCCCCTTTGTGGAGTGGGGCTATGTCTGTTGTTTTTAGTAACTGTGGGACGACCCCTGTGTCCATGCTCCCTCTCCATAGGATGGAAAAGGCTCGTGATAAGGGCTTCTTGCAGTTCTTGATGAACACGGAGTTCCATGAGTCTGGCCCCGGGGCAGAGTGCATGGGCATGTCATTTGTCGCCGTTCGAAGCATTTGGCGTCAGGATAACATCGGATAGGCTTGTGTTAATCAAATTTTGTGGCTCTCTCATAAAAAATTAATTTTGATCTTCGACTCTC